CAAAATATATAAAGCAAATAAAGTAAATAAGAACCAAAATGTGTAATAAATATTGTGAAATAGGAAGTAACTGTTCAAAGGGAAAGGAAACTAGGAGAAGAAAAGGAAAACAAAAGGTGGGAGAAAAAGATTAAATGGAAACAAGGCTTTGTCAATAAGGAGCAGAAAAGGGGTTGACGATAGGAGAGGGAAATAGGGGGAAAAAGAGAAACTAAGGTAGAGCATGGACAGTACAGAGTCCCTGTGATGAATGTGACCATGGTGCAGTTCTAAAATGGACCAATACTTCATTAAGAAATAAACAAAAGCACCTTATTCATCATTCCTTTTAGTCCGCTTTATATATGTCATTATAATGTTAACACTGATAAACTATTTCTGAATTTAACTTAAGTAAAATTATCTTCAGACAAGTCTAACAGTCTGGAATATTTAAATTCAGTGAGAATTATTTAAGGGATCTTTCTAAAAAAAATGATAAAAACAATATTTATACTAAAATTCTCCTTTTTAAAATGCTTTCTTTTTACTTTCCTATATAACCAAGACTTACCAGTATTTTTTTAATATCAAATTTCAAAAACAACAACAAATGAACTTATACTAACCAAAATTGTTAATTCTCATAAAACAATTTTTTAAATACACATATTAAAAATACTGAGCTTTATAAAGTTTAAATTCCTTGGTACAAAGTTTAATACAGAAAAGAATGTCAAATCAGCACTGTTTCAAAGTGGAAGACATGCTTAACAAAACTCCATGTCCAACATGTGCTCTTAGGGTACTGAATGTGACCAACTGCACAAGTACAGCCAAAGTGCTTTACGAAGTAAAATATCCTTCTCTAACATTTGAAAATACGTAACTCACGCACAGTAACAAGCATCAGAAAACAGCGTGGTCTTCATACATCCAAATTACAATACAAAGACAGCTATGAAGATCAGTTTGGTTAAGAGAAACAGCTTACCTGTTACGAGGTCTTTGTTTATTTGTCCTCCTAGAGATCCAAGCATGTGCACTACCTTGATTCTTATTTCTTCTAAGGATACTGCTTCATTCTGCAAATGTATACAATTGTATACGTGAGTAACTCAGTTAAACATTAAAGAGCAGAGGGATAAAAAATACTTTACCACGCTCCCTACTGTAAATGTCTACCTGCACAGAAATGCCATTCATTTTATTGCTAATTTCTGAAAGAAGTTGTTCCTCTTCAAGTTTCACAGCTGGATATCTATTTCCTAGACCAGCAGTTCCAAACTTTTGGGGAAGAGCCTTTACAATCATTAAATACCAGGGACTCCCCAGAGAGCTCCTTTATATTAGTTGTGCTCATCAATATTTATTGGATGAAAAGTAACACCTTTAAAATTATTTACAGTTATTAAAAATACTGAACAAACTACATGCTAACAAATTTCACGTACAATTTTGTGAAAATTAAGTTATCCTAACAAAAGGCTTGGAAAGGTGGCCGTGTTTCATATTAGTGCAGATCCCTTTCCAGTCTGGCCCATCATGGGATATTAGGTGCAGGGTTCAACAGATATGTAGCAGGGAGAGGGAAGAGCGTGTTCAGTCTTTTAAAATAACTTTTTGACACTATTCCAAAATTGAGCTCCTAGCCTCTGAAAGATTATTTACAATGCGGAACCTGAAGCTTTACCATTAAACTTTATATACTGCTCTACTATGTTGAAATTGACCAGGTTACCTTGCCGTTTGAATAGTTTTCTTAACCTCTGTGTGACGCGGCAACATCACGTCTTGCCCACCTGCACCCGCCACGTCTCCAGATTAGGCAGACCCCCAAATGTCAACACACTGCACCGTTTATGCAAAAGCCAACATTTGTTAGCATCACTGTCGACCTCACAGGGAAAATATTTGAGAAGCTATCAAAGTTGCTGTGACTGTTCCAGGTTTTCCCTAATTTTAATTTTTACATCAGATTAAAGCCTTAACTATTATCATTGGCAAATGTGTTTCAGATGTTTTCCTTGAAGTAACAGGTTCACTGCATGCGTTCAGAGAAAATGCCTGCCAAATAGCAACCCTGAGTAAGCAGTATGTCTGTTAATTGTTCTTCCAAGTAAAAATGCCGCCCAAGAGCATCCATTTCGGCTGCTTCCTGCCTTCTCCACGCCTCCTGTTTGAATATGAAACTGTGTGCAGCACAACAGAGTGAAAGAAAACCTTTGCCTTTACCCCCGGAGCCCAGGGATACACAATTTGAGAACCACTGTTCCATGGCTTAGGCAGCACACACTTGCACAGAAACTGTACTTACAAGACTTGAGATATTGCTCAAATAATTCAGCCCACTTCATTTATATATAATAAAATTACTACAAAATTCACACTGCCATTTCTAGTTTTATGAAAGTCTATCAGAAGCTGGCAAAATAGAGAGAGAGAGAGAGAGAGAGAGAGAGAGAGACAGACAGAGACAGACAGACAGACAGACAGACAGACAGACAGAACTTACCCTGGCATGTTTACTATCACTTTTCAATTTTAGTTTTCAAATGTTAACTTTTACTTCATACCAAAAATACTTTTCCTGGGGCCGGGGAGATGGCTCAGTAAAATAAGTGTTTGCCTGGCAAGCACAAGGGCCAGAGTTCAATCCCTTGTTCCTCAAAAAAAAAAAAAAACACACACACACTTTTTCCCTTCCTAGTTATCCAGAGTAGCTATCATCTGTCTTTTCTTCCTGTTTTCTTTACCTAAATAAATCTTCTTCTTTTTTTAATCAATTTGGTGTTGCACGGTCTCACCACGCAGCTCAGACTCCTGCTGATCCTCCTGCTTTCAGCCTCCCCAGCTTTAGGATTACAGGCGTGCACCACCATGCCTGGGCTCTGGCCAGCTCAGCCAAGCCTGGGGGCAGGGCTGTGCAGCAGGTGGTGCCGGGGGTCCCTGCACCTGCCTAAGCCGGTGCTACAGTGTGCTGAGCTACCTTGCCAGTCCCTCATTAAAGAGAGAATAACAAAAATACTTCCCACAAAATGAATTAATTTTCTTCATTTAAATCATTTTTCATGACACCTCATCCCAAAACCAGTCAAGCAATCACCAGAAGCACATGTATACACACACACACACACACACACACACACACCCCTAGGATACAATGAACTCAACAAAAGATGTACTTAGGAATGAATCAGGCCAGATGTGGGGCACACACCTGGGACCCCAGCACTTGGGAGGCTGAGGCAGGAGCATCACCACCCTGTCTTGGGGGATGAGGAGGGTATAAAAAATGAATCAATGTTATATACCCATGATAATATTCCAACTCACTTATTGAACTTGAAGTATATTGCCCTTCATTAGTCACTAAATACTTCTCTTTCTTTTTTTATGCATGCATTCATTCACTACTCCCGGGGAACTGAGTCCAGGGCACCCACACAGAGCTGCATCCCAAGCCCTTTCCATGTATTTATTTATTTACTTTTGCGACAAGGTCCCACCAAGCTCAGTTCAAGCTGGGCTCACACCTACTCCTGCCTCAGGCTCCCAGAGTGGGGGGGGGGGGCACGGGACGACAGAGGTGTGTGTCACCACGCCCCCCTCACTAAATACAACTAGTGATAAGCAGGCAAGCAAGATCAAGACCATAAGGTAAACATTAACGTAGTTTATATTTTGATTGCTAAAAATAGATGAAAATTATTTCTGTACTGCACCCTAATTTGTACGCAGCCACACTTTAAATGAGGAGTTCTACTGTGAACAAGAACGTTGTATCACTTAAGGTGAAGGGAATGTAAAAGGTTTCTTACGGAATGAAGACTCTTGGTTTTTTTCAGATGCTTCAGTACAACATTACCGAACCCTTTCTGCGCAGCCTGGGAAAGTGCTGACACTTCCCAGATGTTCTTGGTCTCATCTATCAGCAAGAAAGAAAAATCAGTCAGAAGAGCATTCATTCTTACCTGATTAAAATTGGGAAGAACACACATTGCTCAACAGAAATATTACAACTCTCCTTTGAATTATATAAAACATTAAGTTTCTAGACCATCGAGTGTGATTGCTGTCTTGTTTTAAGCAGCACTGTCCCCTGACAGGAGCGTGGAAGGCCAGTTCCTGGGCTTGGGCACACTTCTCTTGAAAAGAGCGTGGGCTACCCCGTGGTGCCAGGAGCCAGCTTTCACACCTAACAACTGCCCAATCTGGACAACCTGGGCACTGAAATCAATCTGCTGAAAAATAAGACTCTGGGGCTGGTGA